GGAGGGAAAGAGAAAAAAAATTGGAACTCAAAATCTTGTAAAAGTGAATGTTGAAAACTATCTTTACATGTAATTGGAAAAAAATAAAATACTGTTAAGTGGGGGAAAAAAGAAATCTTGGTTCTGAGACAGATAAACAAGTTATGTGGAAGCAATGAAAAGGACTATCCCTTTCTTATTTTTCCTAATTCTGTTAAAGGCATAATTCTTTCAGTCATCTGGTTCACAACCTCTGACTCTCCTTTTTTCCCTGTATCCAATCAGTTATCAAGTTTTATTAATTTTATAACAATCCTCTCCCACCTGTCTCTTTCATTTCACTCACACAGTCTCCACTGTAGCAGTTCAGGCCATCAACACCTCTCTTCTGGACTATAACAATAGCTTTTGGTCTCCTCACTTTAAGTTTGTTATCCTTTCCAATGCATGTTCCACACATGTGCCAAAGTGATATTCACATTCCTTTTATTTTTTATTTTTTTGCTTCTATTTTTTTGACTAGGCAATGGAGTTAAGTGACTTGCCCAGGGTCACACAGCTAGTAAGTGTCAAGGGTCTGAGGTCACATTTGAACTTGGTCCTCCTGACTCCAAGGCCAGAGCTCTATCCACTGCACCACCTAGCCACTCCTCACATTCCTTTTATAAAACAGGCTTTTCTTAAGACTCCTTCCTTCATTTTCTTTTTCTTTTAATTTGTATTAATATCTTTTTGTTACATTACCCTTATTTCTAAATATATTCTTCCTTTCTTCCCTCCCAGGAATCCATTCTTATGACAAATAATTTCAACAGTTTCTTTTTTTTAAATGGATCTGAGGACATCTGTCTACTACTCTTTACTGCCTCCCTTTTAGAAAACTTTTTAAAAATTAATAATTCAATTACTACTGCTTTATATTTTTATAATTTTATTATAATTATACTTACATAATTTGAAATCTAGAAATGCTATCTTCCCTTCATTCCTATTAAACATTATCCTTTAAAATTATTCCCCTTGAGATTCTAGATCTCAAGATAAAAATCTAGATCTCAAAATAAAACCTCAAGATTTTAGAGCCCTAGATAAAAAATTGTTATCCTTCTTTAAAAATTATTTCCCTTAGAGTGTATAGATCAGGGTTGGTAAACAATGGCCCATGGACTAAACCTGGACCATTACCAGTGTTGTTTTTTTTAATGGCCTTCAAGCTAAGAATGTTTTTTATATTTATAAATTAAGTTTGAACATATTTTAAACAGTAAAAAGTATTCTTAGTTCATAAACCATACAAAAACAGGTGGCAGGCTACACTTGGCCAGCAGCTGTAATTTGTCAAGCTCTGTTCTAGATCATTTGTTCCTTCACATGGATTTTTATTATATATTATATTATCATAGTATATTATATATTATATTATCATAGTATATTATATATTATATTATTCTATATAATGATGTTATTATTATATAATGATGTTATTCATTATATACATTATATCTCCTTCATAGTTTGATCAGTATAGCACTAATTAATTTAGCAGATATGGTAATTTTTATTATACTGTTGTGGCTTAGCCATAAGGATTGAATGTCCCTGTAGAGCAAGATATTAAAACACAAATCTCTAGGTACACTTAGTCACTTTATAAAAATCTTTAGCTATCTTCATCACGACTTAATCCAACTCTTGGGTTTGAGTAGAACTAACTTACTCTGAATCTTATGACCAAGGCTCAAAACCTTCTGGAATATGTCAATGTTTCAGCATACTTCAGAGCTTCAGCTCTTTGTGAAAAAGTCAAAGTGCTTGCAGCCTGTGTTACACATTACACTTTACCTTCCTCAGCAAGAGACATTTAAATGCCTACTTAGGACTTAAAAGATGCCTATTATTACCACTATTATTCAATATTGTACTAGAAATATTAGCTGTAGCAATAAGGGAAGATAAAGAAATTAAAGGAATTAGAGTAGGCAAGGAGGAAATAAAACTATTATTCTTTGTAGACAATATGATGGTATACTTAGAGAATCCTAGAGAATCAACTAAAAAACTACTTGAAATAATTAACATCTTTATCAAAGTTGTAGGATATAAAATAAACCCACATAACTCATCAGCATTTCTATATTCCCAAATAAGTCCAGCAGCAAGAGATAGAAAGAGAAATTCTTTTTAAAATAACTGTAGATAGTATAAAATACTTGCGAGTCTACCTACTGAGACAAAACCAAGAACAATATGGACATAATTACAAAACACTTTTGACACAAATAAAGTCAGATCTAAACAATTGGAAAAATATTAATTGCTCAGGGGTAGACTGAGCCAATATAATAAAGATGACAATTCTACCTAAATTAATTTACTTATTCAATGCCATACCAATCAAACAACTAAAAATTTATTATACAGAGCTAGAAAAAATCATAACAAAATTCATCTGGAAGAACAAAAGGGCAAGAATATCAAGGGAATTGATGCAAACAAATGTGAAGGAAGGTGGCCTAACCATACCAGATCTCAAATTATATTATAAAACAGTAATCATCAAAACTATTTGGTACTGGCTAAGAAACAGAATGGATAAAATAGACTTAGTAGTAAATGACCATAGTAATCTAGTGTTTGATAAACCCAAAGACCCCAGCTTTTGGGACAAGAACTCACTACCTGACAAAAACTTCTAGGAAAACTGGAAAACAGTATGGCAGAAACTAGGTATACACCAACATCTTACATTATATACCAAGATAAGATCAAAATGAGTACATGATTTAAACACAAAGGGTGATACCATAAGCAAATTAGGAGAGCAAGGAATAGTTTAGCTGTTGGATCTATGGAGAAGGGAAGAATTAAGGACCAAACAAGATATAGAGAGCATTACTTGATGTAAAATGAACAATTCTGATTATATTAAATTTGAAAGGTTTTGCACAAACAAAACCAATGCAACCAAGATTAGAAGGAAATCGAAAATCTGGGAAACAATTTTTATAGCAAGTGCTTCTAATAAAGGCCTTATTTCCCAAATATATAGAGAACTGATTCAAATTTAAAAGAGTACAAGTTATTCCCCATTTAATAAATGGTCAAAGGATATGAACAGGCAATTTTCAAACGAAGAAATCAAAGCTATCTATGGTCATATAAAAAAAATGTTCCAAATTACTATTAATTAGAGAAATGCAAATTAAAACAACTCTGAGGTACTACCTCATACCTATCAGATTGGATAATATGACAGAAAAGGAAAGTAAATGTTGGAGGGGATGTGGAAAAATCGGGACACTAAAGCATTGTTAGTGTAGTTGTGATCCAGCCATTCTGGAAAGCAATTTGGAACTATGCCTAAAGGACAACCAAATTGTGCATACCTTTTGATCCAGCAATATCAATATTATTGGGCTGTAAGAAATGATGAGCAGGTGGATTTCAGAAAAACCTGGAAAGACTTATATGAACTGATGCAAAGTGAAGTAAGCAGAACCAGGAGAACATTGTACATGGTAATAGCAATACTGTATGATAATCAACTAACATAAATGACTTAGCTATTCTCAAGAATACAATGATCCAAGACAATTCTAAAGGACTCATGATAAAAAATGCTATCTACCTCCAGAGAGAGAAATGATGGAGCCTGAATGCAGATTGAAACCTACTATTTTTCACTCTCTTTTTTTTTCATGTTTTTTGTCCTTTGAGTCTATGTCTTCTTTTTCAACATGACTAATATGGTGATACAGTTTGCATGAATGAACATGTATAACCTATTACCAAATTGCTTACTTTCTTGGTGGGGGAGGTGAGGGAGGGAAAGAGAAAATTTAGACCTCAAAATTCTTTTAAAAATGAATGATAAAAATTGTCTTCACATCTAACTGGGGAAAAATAAAATATTCTTTTAAAAAAAGAACTTAATGAAAGAAATAGCCAATACTATCAAAAAGATATTCAGAGCTCTAGCATTCTAACTTCTCTCTTGGCATAACTACAGATCCTAAGACAAGGATTCTTAAGTTCATGAAGTTTATGAACTTAACATTTTTTTTAAAAAATAGTATTTCAATATAATTTGTTTCCTTTGTAGTCCTGTGCTTTTTATTTCTTGAATCTGAGAGAGGGTTCATAGGTTTCACCAGACTGTCAAAGGGGATATATGTACATATATAAAATTCATATATCATACACACACACACACACACACACACACACACACACACACACACACACACACACGATTTCGCAGCCTAGCCTCAGGTGGATAGAGAGACCACTGAGGATGAGAGCATTTCTACAAAGAGGTTGGAGTCTACTTTGTTAGAGCATCAATGCCCACTCTAGTGTTTAACCTAAAAGAACCTGGAGGATACCCCTTTCCATGAACCCTAAGTCTTTCCAGAGGATGTGGCTCTACTTTTAGACATAAAAAGTGGAGATTTCACAACAGGCAAAAAAGGATTTCTCACTCTCAAAACCTCATTTGCTCGAAGCATTCAATGTTATTTAAGCCAGAGAATTTCTACTACAGGGTCAGGGATGATTATGCTATCCCAATAGTTGAGGAGAAAATGTCCCAGTCAGTACAACAACCATATCAGAGGAATAACCTTCTTGGAACCATACTTGGTTCTACGATAAATCTTAATTGAGTCTTCCTTCTGTGTTTAAAATCTTGGTAACTTTCTGACTGGATCCATCTCTCTGCTTTTTCCTGCAACCTAGTACTGTTAGCATGATACATTCTACCACTGAACAAGGACTTGTGGCACTACAATGTCCTATAAGTTCATTGCTGTCAGAGGACATGTCTACTTGATAAAAACAGCAACATTAATAATTTAATCACAAGTACTGATTTTGAAAGTATTGTAAAGCTGAAGACAACTTTGGGATTTAAACATCTGAAAATATAAATAAATTACTTATATAAACCTTAATATAGTTTTTGCCAATTGATAGAAATTAAAGAAATATCTGACCATTAATTTTTGGCATAAAGAAGTTACCTTCCAAGGCAGTACTCTTTGAATAATCCATGAATAGGGAGGCATGTGCTTGAAAATCATCAAATAAGTCCTTCATCCTAAATTCCATTTCTAGGAGGGCTTTATGTTTTGTAGTAACATTGGCATATAAGTATGCATAAATTGCATCTGATGAACAAGCATCTTTTAATTTCTTGACAGCTAGTGTAGATTTATAAGAATCATAGTTTAAATGAGTAGACTTTGGCCATTCCTCCTGTAAACATTGTAGAGAAGAAAAAAAATTTTATAAACATTCAATAATTAAAATAATGCAATTCAAGGTATATAAAACTAAAATTGATGTTACAATTCACAGCACACATTTTTGGAAGTCATTACAAAAGATATAATTTTGCTGTGTTCAAATAGATGATACAGAGAAAAATCAGAAAAATTATTTTTGAGAGAGAGGGAGTTTTCTAGAGAATCTATAAAGTAAGGGAAATAAACATTCTGGAAATGTTTAGAATGAGGAGAATGAGCTCTGGTTCTTCTTTTAGTGTTTTGTTTTTTATGGTTTCATGATTAAATGGGTACAAATGAACCTAGAGTGCTCCTTTTGTTTCCCCTTTCCATGGTGTAGTAGAGAGGGCACTTGGACTTAGAGGCAGGACAAACCCTGCCTCTGATACTCATGGCACATATGAGTTGTATGACAATAGACAAATCATTTCCCCTCATGGAGCCTCAGAATCTTCATCTGTAAAATGGGAATAATAATACAATATCTTTAACAAGTTTGTTGTGAGGTTCATGAAATGATGTGTTAAAGCAATGCTTACAGGGCTATATAAATGTCAGAAATCTTCCCCCTCCCCCTTTTCTACCAGACTTTATTTTCTTTTTTTCTTATATTTTTTACCCATCTACTTTCTCTCCAGGAAGATATCTTCTTATTGCAATTTATGGATGGTTATAGAATTTAAAGCTAAAAAATATATCAGCTATAACTTAATTCAACCTTTTTTTTTTCATTTTACACATGAGAAAACTAAGGTCCAGAGTGGTTAAGTTAATTTCCTGACAACACAAAAGTAGGATAAGACTTTAGATTTAGAGTTGGAAGGGACCTTAAAGGTCATCCAACCCAATTCCCTCATTAGACCGATTAGTTGTTGTTTGTTCTTTGTTTTCAAAGAGGACCAATGACATCATGGGTGATATCTTGATTTGCCTGTGAATTGGATTTAAATGAGGCAGAGTTGTGCAAAGTCATCAACCTCACTCTCTTTTCCTGAGTCAGCAAAGTCCAGGACAAAAGTCCAGATGATTGATGATGGCCCAGGATACAGTAGATGACTTTGACATCTTTGATGTTTGACCAAGCTCTCAGTGCTCCACAGCACCTGCTTCAGTTGCCTTCATGGTTGTGGGAACACATTGTTCTCATCTGCCCATTCCATCAGGATAAGTTTTCACATGCTTGGAGTAGACATTCCTCTAACTAACCAGCAGGTTTGAGGTCTGGTCTAGCCCATCTATCAAGATGATTTTCCCTGGGTGTGGCCACTTACAGCTTCTTGGAGCCACAGGTGAAAGTTGGTGAAAGTGGACACTAGAACTGGATGAGTACCCCTGAAAAGGGTTCAGTGTTAGTCCTCCCTGAACATTCCACCCACCCCAGGCATATTAGAAAACTGAGAACTAGAGAAGTTGAGTGACTTACATAATACCACACAGACAGTAATAGCCAGGATTTGAACCTAGATATTTTGGCTCCAGATCCAGTCCTTTTTCCACTTTCCTTTGCTGAATCCTGTGCCAACCCAATCTAACAAATATTTATTAAGGGTCTGTTTTATGCTAGGCCCTGTGATAGGCCTGGGGGTAAAAAGACAAAAAAACCCAACCAAACCAAAAACACCTAATCTCTCCCTTCCAGGACATTACATTCAACTTGGGAAAGTTAATATGTACAGAGATAAGTTTGTATAAGAAAATTTGAAGGGGGCCAAGACATTGAAAAAATGAGGAGGATCAGAAAGTACTGCATAGGAGGTGGCACTTGAGCTAGGAATTCTTGTGGGTTTAGAGATAAGAAAAATGAATTTTAGGGATGCACAGTCATGGCTATGGGGCAACCTGGTAAAGTCATAATGGAGGGAGACAGGACACCAAGTTGAGGGAACAAAAAGTAGAAGAGTTTGGGTAAAATGAAGGATGCATGAAAGGAAACAATATGAAATAAGTCAGAAAGACACAGAGGGCTTTCAATACTAAACTGAGGGTTTTAAATTTTATCTCAGAGGCAACAGGAAGCCACTAAGGAATTTTGAGTCAGAGTGTGTATGGCATGATTAGATCTATGTTTTAGTAATACAATTGCTATTCAATAACTATGTGAAAGATTGACTGGAGAAAGGAGGGGACCAATGCAGAGGGCTCAATTAGGAAATAATAGTAATCATCTAAGCAAGAGGTGATGAAGGCCTGAACCAAGTGATGGCTGTGTGAGTAGACAGAAGAGGATGCATGTAATAGATGTGGAGGTAGAATCAACAAAATGTGGCAACTGGTTGGTTGTGATTGCTTTTTGTTCTTCATTCTCAAAGAGGATCATAACATTGGGAAGATGATGCCACCGACTTGCAGGTAATTGGATTTAAGTGAGGGAGGACTGTGCAAAGTCACCAGCCTCACTTTCTCCTCTAGAGCCATCTGCATCCAGTGGCAAGACATAGATTAGGACAACTGGAAATGGGCCCAGATGCAGTAGGCAACCTCGGCCTTTTTAAGCTAAGGTCTTTCCCAGGTCTCAATTTGTCTGAGGCAATGCCCAATCAGTGTTTAAGGCTAGGTAAGAAATGAGGCAAAGGTTGGCCTCCTTTACCTAGTGAAAAAACAAAACAATCTAGGAGGGGAAGACCTACAGGGTTTCTGACCAAAACAGAAACAATGCTATTTACACTCACTCTGAGCCATTAGGGCCCAAACAATGACCAAATGAAGCTTGGGCTGGGACCTATTGTTGGCCAATCAATGACAGCCAGGATGATTTGGGTTTAAGGCATGGTCCTTAAAAAGAAGGGTGAAGAAGATGGAAGATTTAAGGATAACACCAAAATTTTGAAAGTTATATTGATACTTTCAAAAGAAATAGGGATGTTTGGGAGAGAGGTAGCTTTTAGGCATGTGAAAAGAGCTGATTGATATTTGTTGAAATAGCTTTGCTGGTGATGTCCATCATGTAGTTAGTGATAAAGGACTGAACTTAAACAGGGAGATTAGGGCCAAGGAAATTTAGGAATTATATGTATAGGCTACAGATGAATTCATGGGAGCTGGTTAAATGGTCAAAAGAGAGTGTGCAGAAAGAGAAGAGAAAAGGACCCAGGACATAGCTTAGAGGAAATTCTTGTGCTTAGTGGGATACATAGATGATGATCTAACAAAAAAAAAAAAAACAGAGAATGATGAGAGAGGGTAGTGATAATTTAGCTATACTCTACTTAGGTCAAACCATATTTGAAATATTGTGTTTTGTTATTGGTGCCACATTATGGGAAAGGAAGAGATTAGCTGGAGAACATGCAAAGGTAGGCAAGCAGGTTCAAAGAAGAGCAAGGAGGCGGGAGTCACTGGATCCTAGAATAAATGTATGTGTAGGGGTGTGGGAGAGGGGTAGTATGTAAGATGTATGCAGACTGGAAAGGTGGGGAGAGGGAGGTTATGAAGGATACCAAGTAGATTTTATATTTATATCACCTGCAGGTGATATAAATTTATCTACATTTATATTACCTCCAGAGATTATATCCCTGAAGGTAGTAGAGAGGCACTAAAATTTAATGAGTGGGGAAGTGGGGTGGGTAACACTGTCAGATCTGTGTATAGGAAAGATCACTTTGGCAGCTTTTTGAAGGATGGACTGGAATGGAGAGAATTATGCTAGGCAAATCAACCAGAAGACTACTACAATAGTCCAGGTGTGAGGTGTCTTGCGTCAGGATGGTGTCAACATCAAGGAGAGAAGAGGGCTTATGCAAGAAATATTATGAAGGCAAAATTGTCAGGCCTTGGCAATAGATTATTTGGGGTGAAGAGTTTAGGATGACACCTAGGATTCAAGCCTGGTGTTAACCTTGACTGTAATAAGGAAGTTAGGAGGTTAGGAAATGATAATGAGTTCAGTTTTGGACATGTTGAGTTTAAAATATCTATGTGACATTAAGTCTGAGATGTCTACTAGGAAGCTGAAGATGTGAGATTGGTGTTCAGCAGAGACATTAGAAATGGATAAATAAATCTGAGAATCAGCATAGAGATGATAATTGAATTCGTGTAAGCTGATGAGATCACCGAGTGAAATAGCTAGAGAAAACAGAAGTGGGCCCAGAGCCCTAGAGGACTCTATAATTAGGGAGCAAGCCCTCACAACAGATAGTGTCAAAGGCCTTAGTTAGATCAATGAATGTTGTATACAAACCTCTGTTCTGTTCTTGGAATTTCACCTGGAGTTATCAGACTGCGAACACCCTATCAACCATTCGTCAGCCTTTTTTGAAGTTAGGGAAGGAAGAATACCAATATTTTGGAATGTCGAGAAAAATCCTCAAAACCAATACAGATATGAAATATGTTGGGAAATATAAAATAAGCTACTCTACTTACCAAATTTTGAGCCTTTAAGAACTCTTCAATGGTGGTCGGGGGTAATGCCATTTTCTAGAGATACAAAACATATCTATAATTTACTCTTGTATATTATTGTGTTGGATACAAAACTACTCTATGCATATTGTTCACAAGTATTGAGTCAAGGTTTGTTTTTTTTTTTTGCATTATCTAAATTTCGCATATATTCTTTCTTTTCCCCCACTCATTCCAGAGAGGCCATCTCATATTAAAAAAAAAAATTTAAAGAGGAAGCAAAAAGATCAACAAAATCAATCTATATATATATATATTTAAAAACCTGGTAATATACATAATGTTCCGTATCCATGGAATCCCCAACCTTTGTAAAGGACTACAGGCGGATGATTTCTATTGACTCTTCTTTGGGACCACCCTTATTCTTTGTAATTTTGCAACAACTTGCAGCAATTCTTTTTTGTCTGTTATATCCATCAATATTGTTGTCATTGTATATATCATTTTCTTGGCTTTGTATACTTTGGTTAAGTCTCTTCCATGCTTCTTTGTATTTATTATATTTGTAATTTCTTACAGCATAGTAATCTTATGTTAGATTAATGTATCATAATTTATTTAGCTATTCCTCAAGTGATGGGTATCTATGTTGCTTCATATTCTCTACCATTACAAAAAGTTCTACTACAAAAATTTTTATATATATGACCTTTTTTTTAAAAAAAAATTTCCTCCTTGGGATTTATGCCTAGTAGTGAAATCTCTGGGTCTAAGAGTTTGGACATTTTAGTCATTTTACTTACATAATTCTAAACTCCTTTTTAAAATGGTTCTACTAATTCACAGTTCTATGAACAATACACTAGTGAGCCTGTCTTTCCCCTCCAACATTTATTATTTTCATCTTTTGTTATTTTGGGGGTGTGGGGGAAACCTCAGCTGTTTTGTTTTGATGCACATTTCTATTACACCCCACTACTGATTTGGAACATTTCTGGTATAGTTGTTAATAGTTTGCAATTTCTCTTTTAAAAATTGTTTCTACTGGGGAATGGCTTTTGGTTATGTGTGTGTGTATATGTATGTATATGTGTACATATATATGTGTATGTGTATGTATATTTATATATATACATATAAACATATATACACATATTAATATAAATATATGTAGATATTTTAGATTTTTGTTGTTGCTCAGTTGTTTCAGTTGTGTTTGACCTTCATGACCCAATTTAGGGTTTTCTTAGCAAAGATACTGGAGTGGTTTGCTATTTCCTCCTGTAGTTCATTTGCTGATGAAGAAACTGAGGCAAATAGGGTTGAATAAATTGTCCAGCATCACATAACTAATGAGTGTCTAAGTCCATATTTGAACTCACAAAGATGAATCTTCTTGACTCCAGGACTGACCATGGCATCACCTAGTTGCCCAGATATTTTAGATACCAAACCATTATCTGAAAAATTTGATAAAAATATTTTTCCCCATCAGACCATTTTTCTTTTTAATCTAGTTCTGTAGTTGAATTCACACAACTAGTAAGCATGTGAGGCAGAGTTAGGATCCAGTCTTCCTAAGCCAGCTTTCTACTGTTATCAACCTAGCTGCCTCAATTGTACAAGTGAGTGGTAATAAGGGCCTACCCTTATTGATGACAGTAGAAACAGAGAGGAAAGGATTGGTTTCAGAAAGGTTATAGAGACTGAATTACTAGAACTGGGTAACTTCTTAAGTATGAGAGATGAGAAAGAAGATCAGATGAACTGACCTGGCTTACAGAATGAAGTTGAAAAGTTTTTGAGGCAGCTTTCCATAGTGGACAAGAGTGCTGGACCAGGAGACAGGAAGACCAGGGTTTAAATCCTGTCACAGACACTTACTAGCTGTGTGCTCCCAGGCAAGTCACTTAACTTCTCTATGCCTCAGTTTCCCCATCTGTAAAATTATGTGGGACTCAATGGCCTTGAAAAAAGCCCTTTCCAACTCTAAATGTATAATTCTATGATGGGCCAAACATAATTTCAAGTTTATGGTAGTCAAGTTGGAAGAAGGAGCAGCTTTAGGGAGAAAGATGAGCCCCAAAGACAGTCTACTCAGTGTTATTCAAGTAGTAAGCCAAACAAATGGAAATAAAACCCAGGTTCAATCACTCTAAATTCAATGCTATTTCCACTGTGTGACAGGCAGCACAAAGAAATACAAGAGTGGACTTTACAGAGATGAGGTTTATATGTTGGAGAGGGGAGAATGGCAGTAGGTCAGAAGGGAAAGGGATTCTAGGTTAAAAGTTAGTGAAGAAACAGACCATGACATCAAGTTTGGGTACAAAAGCAAGTGAAGGTAGAGTTGGGGTGATGCTCTGGGAATGTAACATGAGTTAAGGAACCAGAGGTAATGATAAAGAGGGAGAGTATATTTAATGCAGGTGAATGATTCAAGAAGGTAGAAGAATTGGAAGTTGGGGGTCTATTAATTTTGAAGTTTTGATGCAGTCCAAAGTGATAATAAAGTCTAAGTTGGGTTCTGCTTCTGGGAGTCAAGATGGTGGAGCAAGAAGTAAGTTGCTCTGGGGCAGTTAGGTGGCGCATTGGATAGAGCACCAGCCCTAGAGTCAGGAGGACCTGAGTTCAAATCCGGCTTCAGACACATAACACTCACTTAGCTATGTGACTCTGGGCAAGTCATTTAACCCTAATTGCCTCACCAAAAAAAAAAAAGTAAGTTGCTCTCACCCTCCCTTATTGACCTCTGAAAACCCAGAATATATCACCCCAGGAAAAACTCTGGAACAGCTGAACCAGCAGAAAGACGGAGTGTAGTAGTCTTGTAGCCTAGGAAGCTTGAGGGGTTAACATGAAAGGCCCCTTTCACTCTGGAGGAGGGGGAGCAGTACAGAAAAGGAGGCATCCCAGCAAGCTAGTGGAAAGCCCCACCTCAGCATCCCAGGAGGAGATGCTGAACCCCATGATGGTGGAGCACGCAAGCACCAACACAAGGACCCCCGAGTGCCTCAGTGTGGGTAGGGGAATCCATGCACATCAGCTCAGAAAACTACCATGTGCCAAGGCATTCTCTGGCAGCGAAGTCTCCTGGTTCCTCAGCAAAACTCTGGGAAGCACAACTCCAAGAGGGAAAGCTCCAGGCTGAGAGACATCCTCCAGCAGCAAAACATCCCTGTGCAAGGCCTGGGTGAGCAGGAGCCAAAGAAAGGAGTGAAGGGCCTGGGTGAGCAGAAGCCAAAGAAAGCAGCACAAGGCCCAAGCGAGCAGGTGTCCTCCAGGGGCTAGACTCCCCACCCCTACCCCTAGAGCTCCAGTGTTGCTGATTCCAGCCGAACACTAGTTAAGCTGCCAGAACCAGCCTCCAACTGCCTGCACCAGAGGCCTCAGCACACAAAGCCAGTGACCAGGCCCCCAGCTCCCAGCACAAGAAGCTTGGGTCAGTGCCCCATGTTCTCCAGCAGGAGAGCTCATTTTTTTTTAAAGTTAGGAAATAAGCAAACAGAATGAGCAAAAAGAAATGTACAATGACCATAGAATCTTATTATGGGGACAGGGAAGATCAAGACAGAAATTCAGAAGAGGACAGCATTGTCAATATAGCCACATCTGAAATCTCAAAAGGGAAGATGAACTGGTCTCAAGCCTAAGAAGTCTTCTTGGAAGAGCTCAAGAAGGATTTTAAAAGTCAAATAAGAGAAGCAGAAGAAAAATTGGGGAAAGAAATGAGAGGTGTGCAAGAAAGAATCAATAGTTTGGGAAAGGAAGGACAAAAATTAATTGTAGAAAACAAGTACTTAAAACTGCAATTGGCCAAATGGAAAAAAAGTACACTGAAGAAAACAAGTCCCTAAAAAATGCAATTGGCCAAAGGGAAAAAGGGACACAAAAACTCACTGAGGAGAAGAACTCCTTAAAAAGTAAAATGGGCCAAATGGAAAAGAAGGTACAAAATATACAGAAGAAAACAATTCGTTAAGAAATAAGAATTGGGCAAGTGGAAGTAAAAGACTCTATGAGAGAATGAGAACCAGTCAAACAGAAAAAAAAGAATGAAAAAATAGATGAAAATGTAAAATACCTCATTGGTAAAACAACTGAACTGAAAAATAGGTCCAGGAGAGACAATTTTAAAATTATTGATCTACCTGAAAACCATGAGGAAGAAAAGAGCCTGGACAGCATCTTTCAGAAAATCATCAAGGAAAACTGTCCTGAGGTCCTAGAACCAGAGGATGAACTAGCCATTGAAAAAATACCAATTACCTCCTGAAACAGATCCCAAATTGAAAATGCCCAGGAATATGGTAGCCAAATTCCAAAATTACCAGGTCAAAGAGAAAATACTGAAAGCAGCCAGAAAGAAACAATTTAAATATCATGGAACCACAGTCAGGATTATGCAGGACCTTGCAGCTTTGACATTAAAAGATTGTGGGGTGTGGAATACAATATTCTGTAAGGTGAAAGAGCTTGGGTTACAACCAAGGATCAACTACCCAGTTTCAGCATAATCTTTCAGAGGAGGAGATGGATATTTAATGGAAGAGGGGACTTCCAAACTTCCTCATGAAAAGAACAGACCTCAACAGAAAATTTGATCTTCAGATACAAAACTCAAGAAAGGCATAAAAAGGTAAATGGGACAGAAAAAAAAAACATGTCATTAATAAGGGCAAACTGTTCACATCCCTACAAGGGAAGGTGACACTTGTAACTCCTGAGAACTGTATTGTTATTACACCATTTAAAGGGGGTATACTTAGACAGAAGGGGTGGGTATAAGTTGACTTAATGTAATGATAAAGAATCTAAGTGGGCTAAGTGGATCTAAGTAAGTGGATTAAGTGGATCTAATTAAGGAATTGTACTGGGAGAAAAGGAAAGGAGGAGGCAGACAAGGGTAAGTTATATCACAGGAAAAAGCACAAAAATCTGTTAAAGTACAGTGGAAGAAAGGAGAGAGATGAGCATTGTTTGACCCTTACTCTCATCAGATTTGGTTCAAAAAGGGAATAACATAATCAGTTAGGTATAGAAATCTAAGTTACCCTATAGGAAGTAGGAAG